TCATTGAACCCAAGGTTCAGATTGGTTATAAGAATAAATAAAATAAAAAAAAACTGTACTTTGCGAAACTCACGAACAATCTGGGACAAATATTGCTCTTAGCAAAACTCGGGATACAAATTAGAAATCCCTGACTGTTCCGGCCAATCCGGGACGTATGGTCACCTTATTACTAGTTAGTTGCCAACCAAATGCAATAATTACAATTTTATGCGTTTGTCTCAAAAGTATTTACTGCCCAAGTTACCAAATGATGCAATATCTTCATCGTTATATGATGGTAAGATTGAATAAATTCGCACGCCATCAATGCTCGATATGTTCATGGAACAATTAGACCAACATATTTATCAGGACGTCTAATAACATTGGAAATTGGAACATTTTAGACATCTTTCTCATCCGTCGAAGCCTATATAAACCATCATTACTTGAATAATAGGCATGAGTTCTAATAATTTTTTTTTCAAAAATGTCTAAATTAAAATTAATTCCCTTTAAATGGGTCTAATTCTGTCAGTGACCTATGACCTCGAACGAATTTCTCACGCTCGATCAAACGTTTATATGTGCTTGAAAATATAACGTCATTCTGTTCCGGAACGCGAAAACATGTAAATCATAAGCAGTATTTCACATAAGTTTTGTTCATAAGCGAAATAACGGAAAATTATGGCCCACGAAACCATTTGTGTAATGAAAATACTTTTTCAACTTCTCTACGACAGTTTTGAAAAGTATGAAATCAAGATAAGTAGGAAATATTTCATTAAACATTAGAGAATTTCAGAGAACTTAGTTAGTGTAAAAGCTCTAACAATAAGAGAAACATTAATACGTTAAATGTATTTTTAATTAATATGCAAAATTTATATATAAAAATTAAAACATTGATATTTAGTTATTGATAAATAAAAATATTAATATAAACATCAATTTGAACAAAATACTTAAATTTCAGTTGCAACATACAAAGCTGTCAAACAAAACAACATTTTATAGCACATCGACTAAAACATCTTTTTTCGAATTATTTTTTACCTTATTATTTTAAATCCTTAACATGAAATACCATAAACAGTTACATTTGTTTCGATTTCGCGTACGTTGTTTATTTTAAATTCGCAATAACATATAACATGATTGCTTATAATAAATTTAAAATTATTTTAGTACAACGTATAATTATTTTAGTTTTACAATGACGATAACATATGAATACAAAACACGGATTTTATCAATATGTATTATGATAATATATAATGCCAGTATATTATATATACATAATAAATATCCGATATTTTCCTAGGGTTACCAATAATATCTTCAAATCTAAAACATCATTCAATAGTTTTATAGTAAACCGTTCTAGATAAGTATATCCTACAATTATTATATTATAAATATATATAATTTATAATGATTAGTAGAATATCATTTAAGTGGTCTTGATAGGATATCAATGAATTTGACTCAGATAATAGAGAATTTGCATAGAATTTGAATTTCTAATATTGTTTCTAATACACTCTAAATAATAGCATTTAAGGTAAAATATGTATCAAAATCAATTTTTGCGGTATTTGCAATATCTGTTTTTTATCAAATTTGTTTATTCGTCCATTTTAAATTATTCATTTTGTTACAAAGCATGATGTAATGTTCTATGATGTCATTGAAATGTTCGTGAGATAATTTCTTTCTAGTTATATATGATATCATTATTGTTTAAAAACGTAGTATAATGTGTTGAAAA